GGCCTAAATTCTTCTATCAAGGTGACACTCTAATCTCATCTTAAGGTGCCTTAAGATGAGTGATTTAGATCTTATCCCTTGATAACCCTTTTATATTCAAATAGGCTAGGCTAAGGTGATGTCTTACCTTAAGCTCATAAACATATTAGGCCGGCCCTCTTTATAAGACTTAGGTTTTTTCTTTGACTAAAAATTTGGGCTTCTTTCATTACTTCGAACTCATAATAAAAGCTCACCTATGTCTTTACAATCAAATAGCTATCAAGAAAATGTGAGAGAATCACCACTTGACTTTATAAAAGTCAAGTGGGGTTAGTCTTATAATATAAATAAAATAATATATATTAGGATTTATATAATAAAATATTATGAATAGCATAATAAGTCAATAATATATATATAATTACATCTTCTACTCATTAATTAGTATCTATATATAAGATATTAATACATAGATAAAACTACTAATTATAATTATCACTTCCACTTCACTTAATGTAGCCATTCTATTTCATCACTTTTTATTTAATTCTTTCTTTTTTTTCTTACCCCCTTATGTCTTTAGATGCACTATTTTAATCTAAGACCATTATCATTATCTTTCTAAACTAATCTTTGTGCTCTCAAAAGAGTCTTTGTTGATTACTCACAAACACAAAACGGTTATTATGTCTATTTTCTTAATATTCGTCGCTATATGACCTCAATTGATGTTACTTTTCATGAGGAGTCTCCTTTCTTTTCTTGAACATCAACTCCTTGATTTGTTGCATCTTCCTCACCTAGTTTTTGTCTTGTGTTGATCATTGCAGATCCCTCTCCTACTTTTTCTACTTGTCCAATTTCTCCCTCATTAGCTCCTCTTTCGACACCTTCGGCTTTGTTGCCATTTAACTCTTATGCTTCGAGATCAAATTCATCTTCACCATCTACCGAAGAGCCTCCTTTGGTTGTCTATTCTGACAATCAAGTAGATAACTTTAATCTTCTTATTACTCTCCTCAAAGGTACATATGCATGCACTAGATACCCCATTTCTCACTTTATTTTCTACAACAGTTTTTCTCTTTCTTTTCATACCTTTGCTCTTTCTATGGCCTTCAAGTCAATTCCAATCGTCTCTTGAGGCTGCATAGGTACCTGAGTAGAAGGTGGTCATAGACTTAGAGGTTAATAGTTTTTCACACTCAAGTATAACCTAGATAAATTTATTACACATCACAAGACTCACTTGGTTGCTCGTGAATTTATATTGGCCTATGGCATTAACTATACTAAGATATTTTCTCTAGTGGTTCGGCTCAACTCTATGGTGACCTTGAAAAAAATATATTTATGGAACAACTTCTTGTATATATTGTTCAAATAGAGTTATCAAATATGTGTCTTTTGTAACGTGTCATTTACAAATTAAACAAAGTTTACGTGCCTAGTTCGTCAAGTTTAGTGGTCTTCTGACATAATTTAGATTCTCACCATATCTTGTGGATCTCATAGTACTTATATAGACTATTAAAGCTAGTATTATCCTCCTAGTTGTTTATGTGGATGACATTCTTGTGATAGAAAGTGATGGAGCAAGTATTCAAACTACCAAATCATACCTATAACAATACTTCAATATACGAGATCTAAGAATTTCACGACATTTCATTGGGATTGAGTTTGCCTATCAAGATGGCAAGCTTGTTTTCTCTCAATAAAACTATGCTCTTGATATGCTTCAGGAAATTAGACTACTTGGGTGCAAGTCAAAGTCATCACCTATGAAGACACGTCTATGCTTCTAGGATACGTCGTCTCTACTCTTAGAGGATGTTAATTGATAAAAATAGTTGTTAAGAAAGATGATCTATCTCATCGTCACTCGCCTCGACATCGTGTACATAGTTAGTGTTCTTAACTAGTTCATCTAGAAATCTTAACAAGTTCACCAAGAGGGAGCTTTACAAGTTATGTCATACTTCAAAAGAGCTCATAAGAGAGGGCTTATCTATCGAAGACATGAGCATCTTCGGATTGAAGTCTACTTAGATGTAGGATATACTGGTAACAAGAGAGATCGCAAATTCACCAATAATTATTACACATATGTGGGTGGCAACCTTATCACATGATGCTCTAAGAAGTAAAAGGTGGTATCTTGTTCCAATGCTAAGTCCAAGTATCGCATCATAGCTAAGACGATGTGAGAAATGACGTGTCTAAATTCACTTCTTGAAGAACTTAACATCCATCTCTTATGCTAATGCCTATGTGCTGTGATAATTCAATCACCATCTTCATTACTGAGAATCCTACATTTCAGGAATGGATGAAACATATTGAAATTGACTACCATTATATCCAAGATAAGGTAATGTCAAGTGTTATCTTTACTTTGCACATTGTCTTATTTCATCAACTCATGAACATCTTCACCAAGAGTCTTGCAAGGATCTCTTATGACGCGACATGCACCAAGCTAGACATGTTTGACTTGTATGTTCTAACTTGAGGAGGAACATTAGAATAGGCTCACTTAGCCCACTAGGCCCAATTTAGACTTATTCTCTTCATCCCTATTCTTCCTCCACAATCTTCATTTCTCTTTCTTCTCTTCTTCTACATAACCTTATGTACTCCTCTTCTTCAATCATCTATTCTATGATTTTTTCTTCTTCTTGTCAACAAAATAAAATTTTAAAAGTTTGTACTTTAGTTATGGTGTATTTCATAAAAAAATTCTTACATAGTGATTATTAAAAGCTAAAATTAAAGAAATATAAATCATTCAAAATCTTATAGAAGATCAATAGTAATGACTACATCATTGACTTAATAGAGAAAATTGATATGACTTCTACTTTCAATGTTATAGATATTTATGATTATTATCCTAAGTCACATAAAGACATGAGGAAAAGTTATTTTGAAGTATTAAAGGTTGTGTAACCCATCCACAACCCAAATTCAATGTACTAAAAGTCCAAGAAATGTGCAGACTAAACTATTGAAGCAAGATGACCTAGTACCTTATCTGGTTCATAATAAAATAGGTCTTAAATGTATTACAAATTGATTCTCTCACTTGAATTTTTTCTCCACTTTCAGTCATTTTGAATTTATTAAAACATGCCTTAAGTTCAATTTAAACTATAATCCTAATAAAACCACCTTTTTAGGGGCACCAAAAAAAATTATATATTCAAAGGCCTCATGTTGTAGTCTTAAAAGTATTATTGAATATTATATTTTTTTTTTCTTCTCTAGATTCTATCTCATTGATGCTGGATTATGGCGACCCCCTTGTGGATTCAAAGGAACCCTTTTCACCTTGTGGACTAGAGATCACTCTTTGGTCAGTTTCAAGTTAAGATTCCATTTCAGCATAGTATTAAGGTTGCATCACAATACATTCTTTTGACCTCAATTTGAGGTGCTATTAGATAGTATAGTTTGTCTCTATTTCCATCATTGGAACTCTTCATTATGGACATATGAAGCAGAAATTTGGGACTCTCGCAAAAATTGAAGTTATCAAGAAGGTCAATTTTCATGTCCAACTGAAAATCATAAGCAATGTGTAAAGCGCAAAGTTGGGGGAGGTGAAAGGCTTTTTTGATCTGGGACCAAGGAGGTTTAACAGCAAGGCAATCTTTGTGCCCTGTGAATTTGGAGTCTCTTCTGATGGGAACAATGGGTACTTGACACAATGAGAGCACCATGTCTCTCTCTCTCTCTCTCCTCTCTCTTGATCTGCATTTAAATGTATATATACATGTATGTATATCTGACAATCTCTCTCTCTCTCTCTCCCTCTCTCTCAATTTATCTCTCCCTCTTTTATTACCATTTTCTTTATTCACGGAATCAATTACTCACATGCACCTTCCTATCAGTTAATAGGAATTTACCATGACTGCATGATCCTTACTATCACAGCAGAAAATCTGAGGTCCATGTTATCAATGCCAATACGGTGGCAGCACAGTCCGTGGCGGTTGTGGAGACGGGTACTCTTATTCATCATTAAGGTATATACCTTTACCAATTCCGCTGCATTGAATGCCTGTTCGGCTTTGACCACGATACCCATCATCCCGTCTGATCTGATCCCAGTGGGACTACGCCGGCCAGCGACCTCTAACCCCACTTGTAAGCGGTGAGACAGCCAAGACGTCATAAAACACATCCAGCGAGGTCCAACAACTCGAAAACGCCGACACCATACGTCGAGCATGCGCAATCCAAGCGTGCATGGCTCTAGTCCAAAAGTCTCCATCCATCCGTAGTACGAGGACGATCTGTGGCTTCAATCCCTTCGACCCGCCACATGGTTCGGGCCATATACGGACCGGACCGCCTCTGAGAAATGGATGCACGAATTGAAAAAGAAAAGCAGCGACAGATACTGTACGAGCGACGATAAAGATCTTACCATTCTTCTGTGAACGCATAATATCAAGATCTTTACGTCTGTCATCTGAAGAAAGTTAACAATTACAAGGCATCAGAGTATGCATTAGCTTCGAATAATTGAGATCAAACCTAGGCAATTATTCTTTTAGATGTTCGGTTTGTAAAAAATAAAATACCAATTTTGTACTTGCTTTCGTTGACATTCTCAGAAGGAAGTTCAGCTCACCTCTATGTTTCATTCCGAATTCAGCATGTATCTCTTCGAAGAATTTTCTCAATCTTCTCTCGAACAATAAGAACTGGTTAAAAGTAACTAAAAATGACAGCGAAGTCATTTTGGCCTTCAAATGTTTTACAACATTGACAACAATTCATAGCGGGAGAAAAACTATGTTAAGATAGAGGGAAAATACATATTTACACCAACAAATTCCTGTTAACAGCCTCCATCCCTTCCCTTGGCACCACATTCGCCATGGAACTCTCCAACCGAGGCAGATTCCCCAGAGGAGAGAGAAAATGTCATAAAAACATAGGAAAACCCAGAAGAAAAAGGAAGAATCTTGAATCTCCGAGTCAGCTGATTCCCTGTTATACCGTCATCTGCTTTCAGCCTCTACTTGCAGGGATCCATCCAGCATCAGCTTTAGGCTCAGGCTATTGAACCGCTCCCTTGAGTACTGCCTCGATGCCTTCCTCCAGTCCGTGCCTGCCTTCATCATCGCCACAAATTCCTCGTAGCTTATTCGCCCATCCTATAAGTTAAGTTTCAATATTACTACCCGAGACACAAATAAATGTAAATGAATAAATCTGTTCTTTCATAGTTTTGATTCAATAGGAGGGAAAATGAAATAATAAAGGAAGTAATAATGGAAATTAGAACAGAAGCTGACCTTGTCGGTATCTACATCGTGGATAATGGCATTGATGACTTCCTCACTATTTGGCCCCAAGTCATCGGCCAGGGAATCCCTGAGCTCTTCAATTTCTATGTACCCACTCTTGTTCTGATCAAAGTATCCAAAAGCTTCACGCAGGTGTTCATCATTTCCAATCTTCTTCAGATGAATCGAAACAGCAACGAATTCTCCATAGTCCAGAGTCCCATTCCCATCAACGTCAGCCTACCATTGCCAACGTCAGAAGATCCAATGCCATCTAATCAAACAATATCACCAGGAAAATGTATACGTCCCCAATAAATCAACAAATTTTAGAAAGTTTCGCTGACGCTGTAGGGATTTCATAATCTTTCTTACAATTCTATGACTCCATGATAATCACTGACGTGATGCTACGTGTTTTTACCCCTACTTAGACAATCTAATGGTTATATGGTTCATTTTAATTATCTTAGTTATATGAAATTTATAATATTTCAAAACCTGTGCTTGTAATTGTATGATCCCACAGTAATGACAGGAAAAAGCTTAACAGCTGTCTACTCATAATTACGCAAAATCTAGTAGTTAAGAAAATAAAAATAACAAGGCACGATCAGGGTCACCTTAATTCCTTTATGTATGAGAAATTTAGAGTTTTTTTCATCTGTGGACACCAAAACCATGCTGTGCTGACTTATGGAAATGGTACCAGGCAAAAAGGGTTTTAGACAGACATCAGCGGATGTAGTTTCAGGAGAATGAGAGTACAGATTTCAAACACACTTTTGCCGTTTTTGAAGCAACAAAAGAACTAAATAGACTGATTCCAATGCTTTTTATCAGTGCACACAATGAGCATGCAAAGGGCTGGTCTAGAAAAAAAAAAAAAAAAAGTTCTTACAGCTTCCATTAATATCTGAACATCAGGGTCAGGAATATGCTGCCCGAGCTTATGGAGGCCTATCTTCAATTCCTCCAATGTTATTTTCCCATTGTTACTCACATCCATCATTTGGAACATTTCCTTTATCCCTGCAACTTCTTCAACAGACAGCTGTTCAGCAACTACCTGCAAAACGTAAGTTATTTTCTCAATTGGCTCCCAATATAACAGCCAATAATAATACTCGAATCACATATTGTGGCACTGTAGAATGCTTGGAAACACAAAAAATAGTATGAAAAAGAGCAGGCTTTATAGCGAATCAACAACGCCAAACTCCCAAGCCTTACCTTGAGAGCCTTATTTCCCTATAATACCCAGTACAGGACTGTTCTAAACATGGCCCCACACAAGCAAGCCAAATTTTGGGTTTTTCTACGTGGACAGCCAAAGACGTTGTCCGATGGCAACCATTGGTTTTGACACCTTTAGATGTTGGTCGTCTTTATAGTCACAGAGTTATTTCAATAGTAACCTAGAAGGGATTATTCTTAACTCAAAAACCCAACCCTTACCCTAAGAGCCTTCTTCTTGAGCTTGTTCATCACTGAGAACTGTTTTAGCCTTGCGCGAACAGTTTCTCCAAGAGAAACATTGGGAGCCTTTTTGGCATTCTGCAGCCACGTATGATCTGCGATCACAGAATCAATAAATACCTGAATAAGACTCAGAATTATATGATTTGGTCAAGAAAGGAAAAATGGTAGATGTTGTCTACAGAATGAGCAGAGAATCAAAATTTGTACTGATACGTTCTACAATGAATCAGATGGAAAAACTGAAAGAGCAACGTGCTGATGAGAAAAAAAAAAAAAGGAAAAAGACAAAAATTCCGCAGCAATGGCCAACCGACAAATGAGGTTCTGTGTTCAAGCTCAAGAACACCGACAAGGCTACAGATAAAACTAATCGAGTGGAGTTTAAAGAACAAAATTCCCGTTTAAGAATTTGAACTGGACTTTTGCGCCTAGAACCAGATAGAATGGAGTGACAAGATTAATATCACAAGATTTGAGCACCATTAAGCTCAAGAATCTGCGCCCCGTCGGATCCAAAGGAGCCACCACAGGTTTATGAGAGACAAGAAGCACATGCATAAATGTCCCTTTACTTCTACTTTTAACTGCTAAATTAAACGACTATTTATTAGAGCATTCTTCCAAGTCATCCAGTTGACCCACTACGTCAAACCTCTAGATATCTAAAAAGATGCAAGAAAAAAATGCACATCACCGAGCACTCCTTGAGCTGTCAGTCGCTTTGTAGGATCTGGTTCAAGCATCCGTCGAACAAGGTCCTTTGCATTATCAGAAACCAGGGGCCAAGGATCCCTATTGAAGTCTATAGCACAGCGGATGATTGCTTGGGCGATACCTTGCTCCGTTTCTGCAGTAAAAAAATTCAAAATATCAATTAGCAAATAAATTTGTCAAACGAAAATGGATATTAGCCAGGGAGGATCCCCCATTTTATAATCTCCAATTTGAGAAACTGACCGGCCCAAAATGGCGGAACTCCACAGAGCAAAATGTAAAGGATCACTCCCGCACTCCAGACATCTACTTCAGGCCCGTAGTTTCGTTTCAGAACCTCCGGGGCCATGTAGTAGGGGCTCCCCACAATTTCAGAAAACCTCTCTCCTGTTTGTTGCAGAAAACGAGGTTATAACAAATAAAATATGAAAAAAACCGGACATTCACAGGAACACGGAATTGGTCAATATAAACTGGTACCCAGCTTCTGGGTTACCAGTTATGGCAAAAACAACTCGATAGATTGGTGTGGAGAGGGAGGGTGGGGTCCCTGGATTCAAACCTGGTCCGAAGAAGACAGACAGCCCAAAATCTATGGCTTTGAGTGGAGAGTTCTCCTTCTTGTTTGCAAACAGAAAATTTTCTGGCTTGAGGTCCCGATGAATCACTCCATGCTTGTGGCAGTTCTGTAAGAGCGTAGAAGAAGTGGGTGGTCACTCACCGCCATCATCAACCTCATTTGATCAAATCTGGTTTGCCATAAATGGTGACAAAAAAGAATCTAACTTGTGACGATATATGCCACCACGCATCTCAGTCAAAGCATAACGATTTCCGAATCAAGGAAAAATATTAAAATGGGTAGATAGTAGACCATTAAAATGCCTCTACATTTGCGCAAAAAGGATGTAGACTTAACCAACTAAAGGCAAGAACCTTGTACTTAATTATAATATAAAGTAAACAAAAAATAAGTCTAGCAATAAAAAATAATTAGCGCACAATAGTAGAAGATGGCCCTAGAAATCATGCAAATGGAAGCAAAAAAGTAGCATGCAATTAGATGAAGGTGGGAGGACTTTGAGCTTATTGAGCAAATAGGCATTAAAAGAATAAATAGATGCACATGAACAAACAATCCAATTTCCAAAAAAGATAGCCCATTTCTGCCCATCAGCAGCGAGATAGGGAGAGAGAGAGAGAAAGATACTGAGCGATGTAGAGGGAGAGAGGAGGAAATTATAGCCAAGTTTGACCAACATGCAAAGAACAGACTCTCAAGCTCAAAGAAGGTCGTAAAACGGGTAAAGGAAGGATGAAGTTGTGGGGGGTTGAGAAAAGGGGAACATACCTGCACAACCTCAATGATGGTCTTCGTAATGCCGGCGGCGGCCCTCTCCGTGTAGTGCCCCCTCGCAACGATGCGATCGAAGAGCTCCCCTCCCTCGCAGAGCTCCATAACCAGGTGGACGTCCCCTTCATCTTCGTAGGTATCCTTGAGCTTCACTATATTGGGGTGGCCCGGCAGATGCCTCATGATCTCCACCTCCCTCCTCACATCCTCAATGTCAACGGCGGTCCGAAGCTTCTTCTTCGAGATCGACTTGCAGGCGAAGACCTCCCCGGTGGACTTGTCAGTGCAAAGGTAGGTGATTCCGAACTCCCCTCGGCCGAGCTCCGCCCCGAGCACGTAACGGCTGGTGATGTCCTTCGCCGTGGGCTCCACCAGCACGGCGAGCTTGCTGCCATAGGAAGGGCCCCTGTTATAGTCCAGAGCATAGGGGTTGGGCTTCGTCTCCTTCTTCTGCTTCGGTCCCCCCTCCTCAGAACGGCTGGCGGGGGCCCAACAGCAGTTCCCCATGGAGGCCAAAGTCAGGATCTGATCTCTCTCAGATGCCCTCCCGCCACCAAATACCCAGAAGGAAATCGACCAGAAAAAACCTGGGCAAGACTCAAATTCCCCTTCGAAGAGCTAGGAAAGGGGGAAAACCCGGGCCCCTGCCGAGGGAAACCAGAGACCCGCCGAAGAGATGGCTAAATACGCCCTTGCTACAGGAAGAGCTCAGACACCACCGCTGGATCTGACCTCGTCTGGCAGAGGAAATAAAGCCAAGCAGAATAAGGCGCGACGAGAGAGATAGATAAAGAGAGAGAGAGAGAGACGGTATCAACGGAGATGTCGAAGAGGCGCTCTCCGGGGATGCTCTCTTACTCTCTCTCGGGGTCTTCCTATCTGTCTCTCTCTCTCTCTCTCTCTCTCTCTCTGTCTGCTTCAGAAGACATTAAAAGTCCGCGTCGAGACCTTTATCCGCTGTCCTCTCCAAAATCAACCAGGCCACTCTTCCCCCCTGCTCGCAGAGAAGATCCCTCCCAAGCACGCCATGGATCCCTTCCCCACAACTGCGGGTCCCAATCCCCTTGCCAACCAGTGTAGTGTGCCATCCTCATGACGGTGAACTCCTGACCTACATTGACGACTAACGAATCCCCCCATGGCGTTGACCTCTGCCAGAGAATCTTTAACAGCATCTTCATGAGGTAATCTCAAATAATGTACAAACAGATCACAATCGAGCGGTACATCCATCCACCTAAGTTGACTTTAATAGTCCAAACAGGACAAGATCCCCGTCAAAGATTAGTCTTTTATAGGAAGACCCACTTACCCAACTCAGAATTCTCGCCCCTTCATTAGCTACCATCCCTATTTATCACAACCGCCAATCCCCCCATGCCGTTGACCTCTGCCCAGAGAGTCATTAACGCCGTTTTCATAAGGTAATCTCAAATAATGTATACACAGCTCACAATCTAGAGGTACATCTATCTACCTCAGTTGACTTCAATAGCCCTAACATACAAAATCCTCGTGAGAGATTAGGTTTTTATTAGAAAACCCACTTACCCATCTCAGAATTTTTTTCCCTCTACATCAGCTACCATTCACATTTATCACAACAACCCTCATCCACATCAGTTGACTCTAAACCACAAAAGACGAGGGTGTCTCTAGATTGGCCATGGTCACCCCGGTCAAATCCCATCTGACTTCCCACAATCCATCACCTCTTCACAGCGCTTAGATCCTCTTTAATGATTTATTATTATTATTATTATTATTATTATTATTATTGGTTCGATAGCATTGATGAGTGGTGGGCTTCTATCAGCCCCAGTAATATCGATGAATTATCCAAAAATAATATAGGTTTTAAAATGCAGTCATCCACGTTTCCAAAACAAAAAAACAAACAAACAAACAAACAAAGAAACCATCGAATCGTCTAATTATTATAATATTTATTGGCAATAATAAATTCGACAAAAAAATGCCTATTTAACAGAAAGCAGCCTGGGCCACATATATCCACGCCTGGTTCACATGGCTAGCATTCATCCTGAGTTGATGATGAGCACCCCGAGGAACCTGCAGGAGATTTCATGGCAGCGCCGGTCAGAAACCAGAAGTTGGTCAAGAATCTTACATGCTGATAATGACGAGTCCGTTCTCTGTGGTTTCCGTATTCAGATCTGGATCTGGGGTCTGATAATTCACAGGAAAAAAGGAAAAAGCATGCGGGGGCACACGCAGTTCTGATCGAGGGGAGGGTTCGCCGGAAAAATAGGAGAAACTCAGCTTCCACATCATATTCCTGGCTGTCAACAGCAGTTAACAGCGCAGGCGACCTGTGGAGGTGGCGGCAGCAGCGGCGGCGGCGGCGGCGGCGCGACCACCCCTACTCGCTCTCCGGTGCCAATTTGTTCGAGGCGACGTAACTGCGGATGACCTCCATTGCCAGCTGGTGGGCGGTCTTGTTCTGCGTCTGAGCGATCTCGCTCATGGCTTCATAGGTCTCCTTGTCGGAGAAGAGCTTGAGACCGAACCGAGGCCGGGCTTCGGCAGGGCCTTCCCACTTCTCCACCAGCTCCCGCAGCTTCTCAAAGCCCTGGTGGGACACAGAATCCTGCTCAGAGATCTGTTCTTCTTTCTTAGATCCTTGGGTTCTTGTGATCAAGTAGTGGGATATATACTTACGATGCGCATCGAGAAGTCACCGAATGACTCTCTGCGGAGGCGTCTGATCTTCCAGTTGTAGAACAGTGGCTCAAGTACTGTCTCCAGATCGTGGAGTTTGACCTTGTTCATGAAGGTCTCCGCCAGCCTCATCTGGTTCGGAGTCCCCCCCAGCCATATCTACAGAGAGTCAAAGTAACTAAATTTACCAGGCAACCCAAGACTTGAAGCTCTGAAATGATGAAGGAAACGAGGCGGTTGACCTGGTAGCTATTCGGCCCATCACCGACCAATCCAAGCTCGGCCATGTAAGGCCGGGCACAGCCATTGGGGCATCCAGTCACCCTTATAACCACGGATTCACTGTACTTGAGACCCACCTGAAAATAAGATCACCAACTCTCAGTGCCTCAGAACACCAGAAGAATCTCCTCAAATCGTAGCAGCCCTATGTTTCAAAAATGGCAGTTCACCTTGTCAAAGACCGCTCTAACTCGCTTGAGAATGTCTGGTATTCCCCGCTCGGCTTCTGCTATCGCCAGCGGGCAAAGTGGCAAAGCAGGGCAGGCCATTGCAGTAATGTTGAGAGGATCCACGTAACGGGGATGCTGCACATACAACGAAGGCAGGGGTATTTTCACAGACTAATCTGACTGATTCATATCGTGATTGATCTATAACTAATATTTACTAATATTAGTATATATTAGTAAATATTTACCAGTAGTCCAGCCTGAGCAAGAGCAGTGGTGATCGGTCTTCTCCATGTTGGGCGGATATCGCAGAGGATCAGGTTCTGGTTGGGAGTGATCCTCACACTTAGATTATATTTCTCAATTATCTCTCTCAGGGTTTTCTTCATTTTGCCCCCAATACGACCATTATCAACATGAAGCCCGCAAAACATTGCACCATCACCCTGCCACAGAAGAAAGGATAATACTGGCTGTAAATAATAAAAGTATCAAGGTTATTACATAAATAAAAAGCTAAAATAGTATGGCCACAGACCTTCAATAAAAGTAAAATTCAAAGGAAGATCAACAGTAGCTCCCAAATAACAACAACAATAATAATAATAATAATACGGGTAACAAAGTTCTTAATCAATAAAACTGAAATCATACATAATACGCCAAACCTGTTCATGCCATCCGAGATAACTCTTGAATTCCCATTCTGGTAGCTCTCTGAACGGCTCAAACTTCTTTCCATAGTACCTCTCAACGGTACCTCTAAACTTGTCAATCCCCCAGTCACTGATCAGATACTTCATTCTGCTGTATCTCCTGTCATCTCTTCTTCCATGTTCCCGCTGTGTGACGACAATAGCTTTAATGGCGTATAAGATATCCTCCTTTGGCACATAGCCAAGTTGGTCCCCAAGCCGAGGGAAAGTAGCCTCCATTCTGTGGGTTCTTCCCATCCCCCCTCCAACCTGAAATTTCACAGATTTATTATTCAAGCAGCAATTTTTCATTACCATCTATTGACTTGTAACATATCAAGACCATCTTACGTAGATGTTGAAGCCTTGAGGTTCCCCGTCAGCATCAGAAACCACGACCACACCCACATCATTGGTCAGAATGTCCACAGAATTGTCCGTAGGAACAGTCACAGCAATCTTGAATTTTCTTGGCAAGAACTGAGTGCCATATATGGGCTCTGGCGAATCGGGGAAGTTTGTCCCATTTGAGTTGTCATTACGAGCTTTTACCACCTCCGGAGGCTCTGCTGACATGATCTTCTCCCCATCAACCCAAATATCATAGTAAGACCCTGACTGGGGAGAGAGAAGCATAGCGATATTGTCCGCAGTCTCTTGGGCAAACAAATAATCTTTCCTCATGAGCGGTGCCGCAGGAGCAAGAACATTTCTGTTCAGATCGCCACACGCCCCAAGAGTGGAGCCCATATTTCTGATGATTGTGCCCAGCACAGTCTTCAGATTGAACTTCGTAATGCCATGCAGCTGAAACGTTTGTCTGGTAGTCAGGCGGAGGGTGCCAATTCCAAACTCATCTGCCAGATCATCCATTACCAAGTAAAGCCTGTTTGGGACTTTCCCGCTGGGGTTCTTTGTGCGAAGCATAAATTGATATGATTTTATGCTACGCTCATCCCTATTAGTCTGCTGATAGCTTCCATGAAACTTGATCAGCTGTGTGGCGGCCTCATTTATATTAGCAGCCTCTGTTTCCAACTCCTCCTTGAGGGGGTACCTAAGAAAGTTACTGTGTTCTTTAAATATCTCCACCTTGCTGCGCTTAACTTGAGTTGGGTCTGGCTTCACAGGCTGTAAAAGGAATTGAAGTCATTATACAGATGAAAGGGGAGAAAAAAGAAATCTCCGCTAATAAAACACCAAATTCAAGCACAAACAATGGGGGCAAACAGAGGGACCAACGAACAATGTTCTCTGTAACGAAGCACAACCTTGAGTCGACTGAAAGAGACATAACTAAATCTTCACACAAAGAACAACTAAAACGGAAAATAGTACATAATAGATGAATCATATCACGACATGTTTACCTAAGATTATAATGCTAATCAACACCAACGCACGCCAATATATGATAAATGCAATGTGGAACTTTGTCAACCCGCCTCATAGAAGCAGAGCTAATGTTACTTAGCATGAATTGATTTTCTTTAACATTCTAAGTACTGCACGCATAAATATTTACAATTTCTGTCCGCACCATAGACCTGGCATTATTCAATGTAATAAAGAATCAGTTGAACACTAAAACGGCAAGCAGAAAATTCTTCACCACAGAACATCATCTATCATATTTAAAAAAATATTCCCTATCAAACATCACCTAATAGCATGCTAGCATCAAGCACATACTAGCATCCTACGAACATGAAAATGAACCTAATAGCCAAAACTAGAATTGACGAGTTTAAAGCAGCCTTTTGTCAGACACAACAACATTCAATTTGCCAAACCTTAGCGATATAATATTGAATAATTCTAAAAGCAAATGACAACAGAAATCACTATCTCTTCATTTGAAAATGTACAAAGTCCTGATGCTCGCAATCGAGTTGAAACAATGCTCCATAATTTTATCTTTGAGCTAAAGTGTGTAGCCTACGGAATAAAAAAAAGTGAGAAACTAGAAGGTATGACATTGTATGCTAACTGCTTTCGCACAATGAGGTGGTATCTAGAATTGACTCGGAGCCTGTGGACAAACATTCCTGCCATTTGATCTTCCCTGGAAGAAAGGAAACAGAGTAACAGATGTCTTGGCAAAGAATCGTGGTAACCAGGCCAAGACATCTGTCAGAAAGACAGATGGCCCTGATGTTCAAAAATTAAAAGAGAATGCGAAGTTGTCTTTTAGGCTACTGAGCATTTTCTATCCTTCATATTTTCAGGTTCATAGGTTTGTTGCCTCTTTTATGGATTCCCTTTCCTTGCAGTTATTTTTGGCATATTTTCTCATTTTCCATTTTATCACATAGATGCCAGTAAAATGGAGTAGAGATTGGGATCTAGTTAATGTTAAACACAAGGGTTTATTTTTTTATTTTGTATGGCGTTTGTCATCCATGGTGACCACTTCCTCATAGCTCGCTTGGGACATGAACTTCTAAAGAAAGAAGAGAACAGAGTACATCACCAGACATCACAGTATTTTGGTAGTGAACAGCATATCTATCCGCTGCTTACCCCCCTCTGTTTTAACTTTCGTTCTCTTGTATCCACCCTCCAATCCCCTCTCTTTTTCTATGCACAATCTCTTTCCACCTGTTCCTTCCCTTCTACCCTCTATTAACATTTCCGTTCATTCCTCAATAAATTGGTAGTGACCGTAGTTGGCTAATCCCAACCTGAAAATTGGAAAATTAACAGAATCATTGCATTGTGCCATAAATTCCCCTCAGCCATATCCAGTCATGAATCCAGAGATTTCACAAAGTTTTACGACCACCCACACTTCCTGTCATTAATACTCTGCAAGCAATATGAGTTCCATTTTTGTTATTTTACCTCGTAAAACTAGAGGGCAGGTATCAAAGATTCCTCTAACTCATGGAAATGTCAAAGATAAAAGAAAAAAAAAAAGAGTGAAATTTGATATAGCGGTATGCTATATATCTAGGATAATTATCAGGCAAGGGAATGAAGCAAAATCCAATAAACACTCGGAAAATATAATTAGATACACATAAATATACACATGAACATCAAATTAGAAGAAAAGCAAACTGAAACACTTGCATAATCTTATCCATTGATCTCATTCCTTTCTCTCCACCCGAGCAACGACAGACACCATGAAGATGTTATTATGATTCCTAGATGCACTATTTTCGGTATCGTACTTCAAAGCAGGTATTTGAAATAAATTTTAAAACAGTGGTTAGGCATCCATTGATGATCGGATGGATTTTAATAAAACGTTTTGAGCACCAAAAATCCATAAAATAACTTCAGATTTGGTTTCCAATTGAGAAATCAACGAGTAGAGTGAAGATAAAAATAATAGAAAATTTTGAGACATATTTTGTAAATGATTTTAAGATCAAAGGAAATGGAAAATAAAATTTTCATGACAGATGTAGAACAGATAGTATAAAGAAGAGGGGAACTGAGAAAGAAACGAAAATGCAATCAAGAAAATAAAAAATGCGGACAAAAGTAATGGCCTCTGAGTAATAAAAAGTGGATATTACCATGAATTCAACATCGCTAGCGAGATCTAAGAGTTTTCATCATTCTAATTTTTCTATTAAGAGTAGACTTGTATGTAGTCGTATTGAGAGCAACTACTCGGATAATGTTTTGGTCTACTCTTAGTATTTCTGTCAAAATCCGCCATCTCCCATTCTAGAATACCATACATCGGATTACTAAACCTCTCATTACCAAAAGTCTAGGCGTCAATACTCATCTTGTCCACAGATTATCACCAGCCATCATTAGCGGAGCAAGAACAACCAACGAATCCAACACAAAAAACGAGAAGACACTCACAGTGGACACAGCGGTGACGACGGACGAGCTGCTGGAGCACGGCGAGGGCAACGCACGGACAGGCCTCGGCATGGCGGCAAATCCGACCGACCTCAGTCCCTGGTAGCCCTGCATGCGGACCATCCGCTCTCCCAACGACAGAGAACTCGCAGCTCCGATCGCCTCCGCCATCGTCAGAGCCAGAGCACTAGAGCCTCCGAATCCTCAGGCCCTAGGCACCAGTAGTCGAAGAAGAAGAAGAAGAAGAAGAAGAAGAAGAATCCTCGCAGGTGGCAGGCTGCCGCCAAGATATCTACGCGTGTGGCGGCGGGGCGCGGGAGGTGGACGAATCGAGGGAGATATTTCCACCCCCCATGGGCCCCGCTCTGTTTATTTTATATGACAGTGAGGTCCTGTTCTTCTCTCCCACTTGTGTCAACTGTCGATTTCAGGGCATCATCTGGGCCGCCACAACATGCCATCGGAGATTTTATGATCTTATGTACCATCGTACTGTCTCAGGAGGAGGCTTCCCGGAGTTGACCAGATCGGGGTGGGATTATCACCACCTAGTTAGGGGAGCCTAGCACGAGATAGGTTCATCGAATGTGGACGCATTATTTATCTGAACGCATCTATTTTCGGTTTATTAACATGAAAGAAATTAAAAAAAATCCCCTTTCCTGCGAGTTGCGGGCCTAAAAGCCATGAAAGATGACGCCCGGTTTGGCCCGGGCCCATCTCTGATCTGGCCCATCCAGGAATCTGGGCCCATTTTCCTTTGCCACTCGGTCGCCTCACAATTATGTTCATCTCTCTCTGTCTTCCCTCTGTCTAAATATGAAAGGATGGGCCGGCCTTAAGCTTTATGTTGATCTTTTCCAGAAAAGCACAAAGACTGTCTCATCAAGAAAGCTCTTTCGAAACAGACTGATCTGGATAAGAGCCCGTCAAGGCGCCACGTCAGATTCCCGGGTTTTGGGCCGAGCTTCGGCTGATATAGGCCCAGTAATCACCCGGAATGAAAATCCGGCCCGGCCCAGTTTGGAGACTATGGGTAGCTCCAACCCAAATTGACCGACATGTGGGGACCACCAAGCCAGATTGACAGGAGGAAACCACCCAGTTATAGACCAGAAAACTGACCAAGAACTGACCTTTTTTTTTTACCAGAATCAGAGGTCTAAATGCCAGCTGGGCAAATCTGATTGGATATGGTCCTAATCTCTTGAACCCAACTGCCCCCCATGGCTTCTCTCTCATCGGTTACCTGGTCCACATGTTCCCAAGAATTACAGCGGCACAAGTCACTAAAATGGCAAATTCTTGGCACCGAATGAAGAAAAACAAGCAGCTGGGACAAAACCGGGGAGAACTCCCAGATCAGAACAGAGAGCCAGAGCAAGGCAGAAGAGCCATTCCTTTGAGATGATGGAACCAATGTGTTCCCTCTGGTCGAATGAGATCTGCAGTCGGGTGGGCTTCTAGAAGGGGAGAGAGGGGACGAATCACCGAAAGACAGGGGGATGTTAGAGAAGCCTGATCCCATTCAAGCCATTGCCTGGTGAGTCAGAAGAAGTCGCATGAAGCTTGAGCCCTTTTGTTCTTCCGGGGGCGCCACCACTGAGCAAGGATGCTTCGACTGTGCATCTATTTGGACGAAAACATAGCAAAATATCAAATGGGTGGGTATATCTGATTATTTGCATAGAAACCAAGACGAAATGGCGATCTGAAGGAGAAGAAGAGTTTGTGCTTACGTGATGCTAGATCTCGTGCCTGCTTCTGCAGTTTTACCGTGTATCAGGATCTTCTCGTCGGATCTTGAGATCGACCGACACACGGGCAGTTTACCACTCTTGGGAGCTGGATGGTACTATGTTTGATTAGTAAGATGGAAATGAATGGTATCAGAAAGAGATGCAGGATGATGAGGGAGATCCCCGCAGACTGCGCTTACAAGGTGGGTAAGCTGGCTCTGTGGACCCATGGAGAGCAAGGATTTTCTGCATTGATCGAAAGAATGGCGTTAAGAGGAAACCGGGCTGGCCCAAGAATCATAAAGTTTGGAAATATCAAGCTTTGGATGAGACAAGAAGAGGCTGTTGCCGAGACATGATGCACACCTTTAGCTTTCTGTAGCAGGCTTCGAGCTCGTCGTTGACCAGTATATGGTCGAAGAGGTTGGAAGACTTCCCCTGCTCGAGCTCCGCCCATGCATTACTCAGCCGCCTCTGCACCTGTTCCTCGGTCTCCGTTCCTCTGCATGAAGATTGCATCATCACAACACTCAGTTCTGAATTTTTCTAGAAGAGGAAATGATGAGGGAGGGAGGGAGCAGAGCATCAAGAATCTGATTACCGAGATCGAAGGCGGTTCTCAAGTTCCTCGAAAGATGGTGGGCAGATGAATATAAACAGAGCTTTGAGCGGGCTAGCCCGAACTGATCGAGCCCCTTGGACATCAATATCAAGGATGCATCTCTGCAACAGAAACAAAAAAAAACTTGTGTTAATCACGGAAATTAAGTACAAGTATGAATTATTGAGCCATCAAACTCAATTACTCCAAGCCCACTTGTCAGGCATGACAGGTTCGGGCTAGAAAGGATAGATATTGTTATAATTTTACTTTTTTAGCTGTTAATTATGATTAGGATACATACAACAATTCAACATAAAATATACATTTTTATAGTGACTACTTAATGAGGATATGAAATTTGTTCATCAAGGATATGAAACTAGTTATAAGTGATATAATGTATTAATTAAAGACGAGCATATATGAGCTCAAACAATCACCAAGAACTTGGTTTGAGAGATTCACAAAGATGATGAGAAAGGTCGATCATATACCTAGTAATAGAGACAATGCTCTATCTGTTAAAAATTTACTTTCAATGAGAATTATGGTACTTTTAATCTATGTAAATGATATAACAGTGATAGAAAATAGAGATCATATAATGCATGATATTATCTTAAAGGTATCGGGCCATACAAATCAAAACCAATAGAGAATGAACGAGTAGACCCATCTGTAGATTTCTAATATGTGAAATTCCACGGATTTCCATACAAATAATCACTTTTGGTTGCTCACCTTCCCCTGATCGGCTACTGCCTCGACTGCTTCAAAGCTTGTCCCATACAGATTCCCGTGTACTGATGCGTATTCCAGGAACTTTCCATCACGGATATCCTTTTCCATGATACTCCTCTGGGCGAAGTGGTAATGGACTCCATCCTTCTCCTTTTCTCTGGGAAGTCGGGTGGTGTGACTCACGGAAAACCCAAAGGTAGAAGGGAACTCTTTCATGAGCTTCGATATCAGGGTTCCCTTCCCGACGCCAGAGGGGCCGCTGATAACTATTGGCACTGGGCTGTCACCTTCAATCACACCTTTGCTCCATGCGACCACTTCGGTACCGAGTATACTTCTCTCCTCTCTGATGAATGGCGTGTCGATCTTTCAAAACGAAGGGATGAGAAAAGATAAGAATGGAGAAGAAATTAGGATCTGAAACATAGCAAAAAGAAAAGTACATTAGGGTCTAAGATACTAAGCAGGCTGTAACATGTGCACCATCAATGCAAAGGGGTCCCTTTAACTCAATTCAGAGACAGCAATCAGTTCCTGGTGGAGATTTTGTCTGGGTTTCTAGCTTTGAAGAACCATCTTACCATATGATGAGGCAACTCGCGGACATTGTGGACTGATGGTTATAAGATAGGATGATGCCGAAATTAATTTTTGCCCAAGAGCCGAATGAAAATCATATTGAAAAAAACCAAGGGAAAAAGGGCCTTTGAAAGGTTCAAACCTCAAGAAACCAGGCACAGCCATCCAATGATAAATTCTGCTTCACAACTAAAATGCGGTCTTTGCCAAGAAGAATGGCGGAATGGGCTTTAATGTAAACGGGTTTAGAGCCGAGCACGGTGGGGATTGCCCTGTCGATATCAAAAGATGGGTTCTAATTCAGGCACCTGAAACAGTTCAAAAGTTACAAGCCAGAGAGGGAAATATAGCTCACCACTTGCCCGTTGACTTGTCAAATATTCTAACACCACCCGACTGGAGAATGTCATCTTTGAATTCACCGATTACAAACTGCACAAAGAAAGCGATGCCATCAATAAATGAATGCACAGCTGCTCCAAGATGAATATTCAACTCAGCTGTCTTGGTTTTGGACCCACAATCTTCTCTCCAGCAAAGGTGACTGTCTGATGGCAATTTGGTCCTGAATCGAGCTCAACGAGCTGGTCTTCACCCAAGCAGTCGAGAACGGAAGCATGAGCTTCTTCCCCCTGATCATAGGCCCATTTCATGAGTAAACACTCCAGACCCACATTTTATTTTATAATACTATTAAATAGCATTCCATTGATCCGGAAGCGCATCAGGAAGAAAGAAAAGGCATAATAAACCATAAGACATCTCACCATCAGAAGAGATGATCTCTGTTCGTCGAAGTTAAACCTCCTCAACCTGAAAAAATAGTAGGAAGATTTTTTTTAAAAGGCTTGAAGGTTAAAATTGCATATACAAACATCAAATACCCGAATATGGAAATAAAAGAGAAAAAATGAAAAAATAGATCCGGGAAAAAGTACTTTAATTTAAATAGGTCAAGGGATAATGACACTGAATTTAACAAGAGTACCAACTAAATGCCAAAAACTTGATTCGGATCCCATTAATTAATGAAAAAGATAATCGTACAAGAATCATGCTTTGGGAAAAACATAAGGAATCTACAAAATCTGCAATTAAACAAGGAGGAGGAGGAGGAGGAGGACTAAGGGGGAAAAAAACCACCTTAACTTACCGAATACGTAAAAATGCTTAACAAAGAAAACCCAACTCTAGGCCCCACTCGGTTCTCAGAAGAGGGTATCACCGGAGATCCACAGACGGCCCAGAAGAGACGGAAGTCCTCAGAAGCCAAGCTTCTTCCGTGGAGACTAGGGAGTCAAAATGACACCATTTCCTCCCTATTGCCGACGGCTGCTTTTTGATTCTATATATCCGGACAGCTTCCGGGAATCAGAAAGCATGGAAAGGCAGACAAAGAAAGGACGCGGAAACACAGGCGAAGAAAGGACGCGGAAATGCTAGGAACTCGGAGCAGAGAAGTCGGCCAGTGAGAGGTTGGGAGAAGACCAAGATGGGGACTTCCGGGT